CCGGCTCATCCTCCTGTTCAAACTGATTTTATAAAGTTGGTTTTTCTCCCTCCAAACACGACCTCTGTGTTACAACCTATGGATCAAGGTATTATAAAAGCATTAAAAGTGAAATTTCGGGAAAAACTAGTACTCAAAATTATTAACCAAGAGGAACAGGGAAAAGATATTAAAATTTCAGTATTAGATGCAATTTTAATGATCTCCGATGCATGGAATGATGTTTCTACCACAACAATAAGAAACTGTTTCCACCACGCTGGATTCAAGGCTTTGGTAAACGACGAAACAGAAGTAGTAAGTGAAAATCATTTGGACACAGAGTGTTTTTCTGAAGAAAACATACAAAGTTTTGCGGAGGTTGACGATGCTCTTTTGACCAATGAAGAACCCAATGAAGAAGAAATTGTCAAGTCTATTTTGAATGCAAATAATGATGAAAGTGAACAAGCTGACGAAGAGAGCGAAGAAATCGTATTCAAATTACCATCTATTTCGGAAATGTATTTTTATATTGATCAGGTGCGTACTTTTGTTTCGGTAAACAGTGACATAAATACGCCAGAAGTATCAATGGCATTAAATAATATTTCTAATTTTGTTAAAAAATCTTATTCAAATTATAAACAAACTACTATTAAAGATTATTTTTCAAACAAATCGTAAACGTATACTATATATGTATTATAATCTGTACATTTATTAAAATTTAGTACCTTGAATGTTAAAATGTGTTTAATAAATCAATTTTTCAAAAAAATTATTTTTTTTTTATGATCCGGATATAACGAAGTTCGGTTATAACGATCAGATTCCCTAGGTCCCTAGAAGATCGCTATAAGCGAATTTCACTGTATATATAAATTTTTATTTTGACTGACCATTATCATCCGCGTGCATACGGCTTACGTATATATTCTTACCGCCGTTTATACCTCAGGTATAACGTTAGTCCGACCCGCCCGCCAACAAAACACGGCTGTACCTAATGCATGATACGTTTACGTACTTAAGTCGCTTTACATGTATATATATATATTCTAATTACTATTAAAAATATATATTAACACACTTTATTCTTATTTAAAAATATAGAACTCATTCATTCGATTACAAAGGATGAATCCAGTATCGTTATTTTTCGTCACTACCACCATGTTCCGGCAGTGGGTAATTTACGAGTCTGCTGCTTTCCTTGGATGTGGGAGCCGTTTCTCAGACTCCCTCCCCGGAATCAAACCCTGATTTCCCGTTACCCGTTACAACCATGATATTGATAGTAACTACTATCATAACATGAAACTAAAAAGTGAAAAATAAATATAGTTTTTTTAAACTATATTTATTTCATTAGGGCTCTAAAAATGTATCATNTATTTATTTCATAAGGACTCTAAAAATGTATCATTGTAAAGAGGCTTAAACAATAAGCGTTTAATCGCATGCGTACGCGTTTGAAAAATACGGAGATTAATCTCTTGATATTAGTTCCACAACTTAGGTATGTGGACTTTGGAGAGTGATACAACAGAACATGGTAAAATATTAAAAGAGATAGACCAGGGCTTTTTGGAATACCCCTTGGACTATATCAAACCGGTTCTTAAGAATAACATTCCCTACAAAGTGGAGATCACTATACGTAAAGAATGGAATATTAACCACCTGACTGAAAAAGGAGGATTTAAAAAATATTTTTAACTTATGCAATTAGTTCGATGTGCTTTAAATGCGTGTTTTTTTTTTGTTTTTTTAAACTATATTTATTGTGTTAAAATTCTGGATTTTGTATTTTATTTTAATTTAAAATAACTGACAAGAGGAGTACACATATTTTCATAAATATTATATAAATAAAATTGATATAGCATACTTTTTTACTTTAAAATGCTATAACTTTTTAAAAAATTTTTGGAAAAATACAATTTTTCATGAGAAGTAGTATTTATATACCTCTTTCAATCGACATACTTTTTTTTTAAATCGAACCATTTCCCTTTATACAATGGGGGTCAAAACTTTAAACATACGTATTTAAATTAGGACATTTTCAATTTAATTTTTGAAAGTACTCCGAAAATACTGACACTTTTATACATATTTTAAATAAAAGCTTATGTAATATACTTTAATTTAAAAAAAAAATTTGATTTCTGGATTTGTCTTATACAAAATATATGTTTTATACAAAATTATATATTGCAATTATTAATTTATTCAATGTTAAAAAAAAAATTTTTTTAACATATTCATTATAAATGATTTTTAATATGAAATCTACTATTATAATAATTTATTAAGTATTATAATTTTTAGCTTCGATGCGATGCTGAGAACGTATTAATTTTACTATAATATGTTTTTATTATTATTATTATTTTTTTTTGTGTGTCTGTGAACGCTCAATCTCAGCTCTCGCTGGACCGATTTTGATGAACAAGACGTCAAAAGATAACAAATCGTATCTAGTCAAAAACATTACCCTCAAAAATTGAATAAATTTCTCTAGTTCCCCGTAAATGGGGGGAAATCCACCCAAAAATTACAAATTTAGAAATCGCTAATTTTTGACATTTTTTAAATTTTTTTTACCTAAAATTGCCATAACATTTTTAAAAATGACCGAATCAATAAGAATTTTATTTTTATAAATACCTGAGGTATTTACCTATCATTTTGTATACTTTTGTGAACATTTAACTCTTTACCAGCCCACAGGAAGGGTTTCAATATAGTAACTTTTTTACAAAAAATTAACTTTTTAAAGTTAATATTTGAAAATATTCCGGAAAGACTAACATTTTTATATATATCTTAAATTAAAGTTTATGTAATATATTTTATTTTGAAAAAAAAATTGACCTCTGGATTTGTCTTCATGATGAAAATGACTACCGTCATTCCAAAATATGCTATTTTTGTGTTAAAATTCTGGGTTATATATTTTATTTTATTTTAAAATACCTGATAAGGGGAGTACATAAATATTATATAAATAAAAAATTAGCATAGAAAGTAAAATTTATTTAAACTTTTTTGCTTTTTTTAAGTCGTGAAAATAGCTTTGAAATTTGAACTAGCTAACATAGCCAATTTTTTCATCCGACGTTAACGACCTACGGTTGCTGAGTCGGTTAAACTTGTGTTTTACGCACTTGGAGTACAAGGTTCCAACCCGCGTATGGCAATGAATTTTTTTCTTTATTCTTTTTAAGTTGGAATAAATTTTCAACTGCTTTGATTTTTATCTCATTTAGATTCAATAACTTCAATAAAGATCAAGGATCCCATCACTGTAGTCGCCCCTTGCGAGAAGAAATTTCTTATTCATATTAAAATTATTTTACTATATTTTAGGTTTTAGCTTTGATAAAAAGCTGAGAAGGTATTTTTTTGTGACTATTATTTATTTTATTTAACTTGACCTACATTTTTCAACGATACGTCAAATTATAACAATTAGTTGAAGATATTACCCTCAAAAATTGAAAAAAAATTGTAGTCAATCAATAAAACAGTAACTTGTCCCATATTCTCCATACACAAAATTGAAATCATTCATTTCTAATGTTTTGAAAGTATTAATTGACGAATCTAGTTTGATATAATAGGTTTCAACTACAAAATTAAATCATTTTACTTTGTAATTTCATAATACTTTACTCTCTTTGTGTGTGCTACTACTAGATTATAATATTCCAAATTTTTTGTTGACATGTTTTATATAAATCATTTCTAAAAATAAATGATTGTTAGTTTCTCCTGAATTAATAATGGATTTTTACAATTAAAATCAAATTTTATAATACGCTCAATTGAGTAAGTTTTTTTAACAACTTTGTTTAGATTGATTTTTTTAGTTAAAATAAATCATTAAAATTAATTAAGTACTGAATACTTCAATTGTAGAATCTTTTTAAACACCAAAAGTTACTGGGAAATGATTACTATTATTTCTATTTCAGTTATCTATTACGATAAAAATCCAATAAAATATTGAGCTTTTCTGATAAATTTACTATAAATAATAATTATAAATTTTCTTGACTGCATATTAATCTTAACAATAAAATATTTTAATTCTCCTAAATTTTTTTATTTTACGATGTTAATTTCAAACTTGCAAATTGAGCTAAAAGTTATTGTAATAAATTAATTTATTTTTATTATAAACTTTCACTTTAAAGGATTAAAAAATATGTCATTTTCCTTATTTTTTACATATTAATAATCAAAATCAGTATTAATTTCAAACAATTTTATTTTTTTGTTATTTGTAAATACTTATTTTTTAATAATATTATTAATATTAAAACTTAGAAGTGATAGAAAAAGTCTAATTGCACATTTGAAAACATCGCAAAAAGTTGATTTAGAAAAGTATATTTTTGTTTCTGATGCAAGTTCCTTGTAGTCCAGTGTATAAAACTTATAACTTTATTATAAGTAACAAACTTTTTTTATTAAAAAGTATTGCGTCTAGTTCTTAAAATTTGTATACGCGTTAAAAGTAAAGAAATATACAACTACTTTATTATTTTTATAATATCTCCGTAAAAATTACAATATTAAATTAATGAATAACAATTTCATGCTAAATTTAATTACTAAAATTATTCTTTATACATATAATATAATTATAACTCAAATAACTAATCGGGATAAAATTAAGTGAATAAGAATTATTGTTTTTTTTTTTTAAATAATCTACCAATTTCTTAAAAGTAAACACTATCTACAGATTTGCATCGAAGCGTGTGTCTTATAATAGTAGTTTTAATTACTGTTAGATATCATCTATACTTGTCCCAACTATGCCACGTCCATACTGTGCTGCGACCTCACTGTGCTACCGTTTTTGTTTATTACATGTCACTTAATTTTTTTGTAAAAACAAAACGCATAATTTTCTAAAATATTAATTACGTAGCTATCAATTAAGATTGTATTTTGAATTACATAATTTATTAAAATACTTAAAATAAAAGAAGTAATTACGATTAGTTATCATACATTTTTATTGATTTATAGTTTAAAATTATTTATTTTTTGGTTTTAATGTATTAAACATATTTGTAGCTACAAGTTCTAAATCAATACTAGACCCAGATGATTTTTCTCCATTATGTCTTTCATGTCTGCCTAATACTATTTGCACGGGTTCAATGTCACTATTAGACTGGTTATATCTTCCTATTTTCTTTTCTTTTATTTGATGCATACGAAACAAATATTGACCATTGCGTTTGCTTACCTTCAATGTTGGCTTATCCATTTGGTTATTAAAATTTGGATTTAGACTTTTTTGAGCATCTATAGATTGCATAGAATATTTGTTTGGTTGATTTAAAATTATTCGATCGTTAATTCTCCTAATTTGTTTTGTATAAAGTTTGTTAGTTTGAGAATGTTTTTGAACTATTTCGTGATGTAGATTTCCATCTCTTTGCTCTGTTTCCATTAGAATTGCCACCTGCTTCTGAATACCGCCTGGTTTCCAATTTCTGTTAAACTAAGTATAAAATAGTAAAAGAATATTAATAATATAGTGTTTATTGCTCTTAGAAAAACCTATTAACATATAGTTACAATTTATAATATGTAATTAATGTACCTACATACTGTATCGAGTTTATATTTTGTATAACGCAATACGTACTTTTGTAACTAAAATACATTATAATAGAATTATAATAAAATAAATGTGTTAAAATATTGATGACATAAATTAAAAAAAAAAAATGTTTCACGAATAATTGCAAAGACGTACTTATAAATTTTAAATATTAGGGAAATTTCATTTTTAATATATTATTTTATATTTGAACGATGCGGCCTATTGTACTAACGCCTATTATATAGCAGTTTTCATATAATTCCACATAAATAATTATGTTTCTATAAAAATTGTTTTTCTTCTTCTTTTTCCTTACCCTAATCCCAACTACTTGGAATCTACCAACCATTATTCTAAACTACCACTTGACGCGATCTCCCACATAATGTACACTCACATCAGCCACCCATATTTATCATTCAATAACATCCCTCTATCTCTTTTATGGTCTACCTTCAACATTCATTGCTATAACTTCCGATTCTTCTCTCCTCATAACATGACCAAATCCTTCAAGTCTATTTTCTTTCACCTTATCTACGATTGACGCTACACCTTTACTCCCTCTTATATATATATATATATATATATATATATATATATATATATGTTTGTTCTTTATCCTATATTCTCTAGTCACTACAATCATCCATGTAATTATTATCATCTCTGCTAAATTCATTCTCTACTCTACTTTCTTGTCAACCGCCCAACACTCTGAACTATGACTGTATTAACTACAGTCTTATTTTGTCAAACTCGTACTATTATGTACTTTGTTTTACTCCTATTTATTTTTAATATCTTTTCTTCAAAAGCTGATCTCCACACCATTAATCTTTGATTAATTTCTTCCCTATTGTCACCTATTAATACTTTAGGGTCAATCCATACCAAATCATACAGAGTGGTCGCGCGACCATTTTAAATTTTTTTGAAATTTTTACACGAATTGTCTGGTATTTAAATAAAAAAAATTTTCAAAAAAAAATTAGGTGAAAGTAGATTTATGACCTGTCAAAATTTTGAAATTGCATTTCTTAAAAATATTCCTGAAATAAATATATTTATTTATACTAAAAATTTGAAATTTCATTACTTTTTCATTACGAGGTCTACTAACATGTCTATTAATTAACAATAGGATTTTTTAATTTTTAATTTATTTTTTTATGTAATTTTGAAAAATATTTTTTTTTGTTTTTATTAAAAAATAACATTTTTAAAATTAAAATTATTGATGAAATACAATTTTTTTTTACATCATATTAACATTATTCAGTATTTTAATTTTATTGTGTTTTAAAATTTTTGAATTTGGTCTTTTTTTAGTAACACAAGTATAAAAAAGTTCAAAATTCTAAAATAACGATTTTTAGGCAACTTTAACTTAGTTTTTCTCCTGTGGGACAGAAAATTAAATCATAAAAATTTCACACAATATTGTTACACATGTTGACTTTCTATGATAAAAATTTCAACTTTGGAATTTTACCGAAACCAACATAATCCGTAATGATCTACTTTATCAAATCGCGGTAAATGTATCAAACAGAAATATGTAGTTGTAGATGTTTATATTTAGATGTATCATTGCTTTTATTTAGTTTTTCTTTTTTGGATCACTATTAGATAAGTTTTTTCTTTAAAAGACTAGTGATTTACATAACTAATAGTTTTAACTCGTAAGTGGAATGTAACGTATATTATCATGTTTAGTTTGCCTCATTAAACATTTTTAATTTGCTCATATTCCTAGTGCAATTCTTAAAAAAGTCGAAGAAGTATCTTTTAATTTACGTGCTGAGTTAGAATCTATTCCTAAATTTATACCAAGCTCTAAAAATTTTCAAATTTCTAATTTATCGGAAAATGACGAATTAATTAAAAATTAAAAGAACAGATGATTGTTTCTTCAAAAGAAGATAAAGTGAAAATTATTAGTTTATTGCCCAATTCGTGGTCACGGGATAAAATCTGTAGAGAGTTTAATGTCTCTGAATATATAGTTCGAACAACTCTTGAGTTAGTTAAAAAAGAAGGAATTTTACCTCAACTTCAAAAAAAACTGATAATGTTATTAGTAATGAACTAATTGAGCTCGTTTTAAAATTTTATGACAATGATGAAAATAGTAGGATCTGCCCTGGTAAAAAAAATTATGTTAATATTAAAATAAATGGTTCAAACGAGCAATATCAAAAAAGTTTATTATTTTGCAATTTAAATGAGTTATATGTGAAATTTAAATTAGTGAATCCCAATTTGAAAATTGGAATATCTAAATTTTATACACGTAAACGTAAGTGATGTATATTGTCTGGATCTTCTGGCACATATAATGTGTGTGTCTGTGTTCACCATCAAAATGTAAAGCTTATGGTTGAAGGAGCTGATTTAGAAGCTGGTTATAAATACTATCTAAATTGTTTAGTTTGTAATATTGAAAATTATAATTGTATGATGGGAAAATGCGTGATATGTTTGAATTGTAGTGACAGTGTAAAAAAATGCTTTATGACAAATTAGATAATGGTCTAGAAAATATTGTATATAAACAATGGGTTAGTACAGATAGAGGTGATTTAGTAACTAATATTTTACCTGTTGATGATTTTATTGATTCATTTAGTGAAATATTGTGTAATTTAAAGATTCGTCATTACATATCAAAAATTCTAAAGAAAATTTATCAATAACAGATTGCATAGTTCTAGCCGATTTTTCGGAGAATTATAGTTTTATCATACAGGATGAAATACAAAATTATCATTTGGCTAATAAAAAGGCTACCATCCATCCTTTTGTTTATTATTACAAAGCTGATGTTGAAATTAAATGCTGATACTTATATGTTATGATAAAACCACTTTAAACATAATGTTAAAAATAAATACATAAATACCGGTATTTTGAAATTTCAACATTTTGACAGGTCATAAATCTACTTTCACCTAATTTTTTTTTGAAAATTTTTTTTATTTAAATACCAGACAATTCGTGTAAAAATTTCAAAAAAATTTTAAATGGTCGCGCGACCACTCTGTATGATTTGGTATGGATTGACCCTATATCATCAGCTAACAACATACACCACGGCAACTGTCCTTGTATTTCTCTAGTAATTTCATTCATCATTACAGAAAATAAGTAAGGGTGTTTGGGCGGGCTGCTACAAACTATACCAACCCGGCACCTATAACTTTATTTATAAGTGAACTGTATAAGGAAAAGATAAAGGATCTTCATACCAAAACGCAAAAACCCTCCCTATTCGGGAGTAGTGAAAGTAAGGGAGGAAGAGAGTTGTCAATTGATGCTAAACTCAACAAAAGACTTAAAGTAGAATCTTGGTGCACTTCTAGTCTTGCTCTAAATCCTTCTGTTACTCCTCCCACACTTTTTACTCTGATATCTATAATAGTCCTCTATTTTATTAATATATCTTTTAGAGACTCCTTTATTCATTAATGCTTATTTAAAACCTCTTTCAGTATTCTATTTTACACTGTTTTTCAAATTTATCAAAATTGTATTTGAAGATTTAAAAAGATTTTTGAATACGTTAGTAAAAAATAAATGCTCTTACTTGTACGTTTCCACTTTTCTCAATTGTCCATAACCATCCCATATTTTTTGGAACTAATACAGGACATTGAATACAATTTCTATGACCACAGTTTATACCTGGGTACACTGTGTGTGCTATTTTAGTAGCTTTTTTTGAAAATGTGGAAGAACTTTTATTAGATTTAGTCGAGCCGTAATATTTTGAACTTTTTCGTTTTTTAATTTTTTTGGAAGATTTTTTTGATTTAGAATTATTATTTATCAAAAGTTTTTCATTTAATTTAAGTGAATATTTTGATGTAGTCTTAGAAGAATGTACATTAGAAAGTAAAGATTTTTCCACTAAATTTTCTGTTTTTTGTTGCTGAACCTCATGGTTGAAAAAATTATCTGCCACTTTAAAATTCTGATCAATTTCTAACTTTTCTTGCTTATTGCATAAACAAAAATTATTCTTATTATTTTTCGCGATATTTTTGTTCAAATAATTCACAGAATGTAGAATAGAGTTTGAAGATGTTAGTTTAGGGCAAATACACTTTTTATCATAAATTTCTTGACCTCCTTTTTGTCTATCAACATGATGTTTACTTTGATCAAATTTGAAAGATAATTTATTATTATACAGGATTCTTTTAAACTCATTTATCAATATAACACAAGAACAACGATTGATCTGCTTTGTATATGATTTTTTTAACCTGAATATTAATAGAATTTGTAACACATGTCTTTTTTTTTTACAAATATTATGATTGAAAATAAAAATTATATTTATGTATATTCTAAATAATAATAATTTTTAACTGTGTAATCAAAATTTGCTAATTTTTTAAGGAATTATTAAAAAAATTTTATTTTTGTAATATGAAAAATTTCTTATTTGACAATAAATTCTATAATTTTTTTTTTTATCAGATTATTTATGTTCGATAGCTAAAAAAAAATAGATTGAACTAAAAATCTATTAATAATAATAATAATAATATAAAATTAATAATAATATCTATTAATAATATATATTATTATATTGTCATGTTAAAAATGGTTTCCATTTAAGAAAATTAAAGTTGAAGACTTATTGAATGGAATAGATTATGTAATTATAAGATTTATAAATTATTTCGTAATATAATAGTATATAATATATATTATCAGAGGATTTAATATAAGAGATTATATAATGGCAACGCGTCGATAGACGGGAAACAATGACTAAATGTTAAACATTTATACAAAAGGCTGTATGAGTGAAAACGACTTAATCGAGAAAGGAATGTGGCCATTTTGACCTTGTACTATACTAAAATAAATGAAAATATATTTTAAACTGTAATCTTAAATGCGCTTAATTAGTATTACTTTACCCAGTGTATTGTTTAAAAATACTAACAGTATTTTTTATCCCTAAAGGAAATTGATATTATTTAACTATTTAACTCCGAAAAGAATTTAAAATTCTCATTTTGTCAAAAGAATATTAAAATCAAGATAACATCATTCTGAAAATATTTCTAAAGAGTTATTATATGATTCTAAAATTTTACAACAATATTACTAGAAAATTGGTTGACCTCACTTCTTACGTTGTAAAAGTACATTAATACTTTGAAATATTACTTTAATATTATATACTTACGCTATGTATAATAATTTTCTAGTAAAGTTGACATAATATTTTAGAATCATTATGGATCATATAATAATAATAACTTAGAAGGGGAGGTTATGGGGACGAGATCACCATAGCTTTTTTTATCTTCCGGTAAACGCAGCGATCTATTGATTCAAGCCAGTCAAAATACTTTTTTCTTAATTTTTATCATTTATAAAATTGTATAATAAATAAATATTTTTATTTTAAAAGGCAATTTAAGAGTTTTTTATCCGTTTAGTGTGAATATTGGTAAAAAATTCAAAATAAAAAACTTTATACTCAATAAAGTTTAGATTTATATGATTTTTTGAAAATTTCTAAAATCAATTTGAAAAATACGTTATTTTTAGGTTTGCTGAATATCACCTTACTATGTGACAAACATTACACCAACAAATGTATACAAGGGTGGTCCTTATTTGATCAAATTTAAAAAATGGCATGGGAGAACTCTACATTTTATTCTAATGTTTGTTAATATGTTAGACTGATAGTTGTTTCAGCTGGTGATAACTCTCTACTCTAGCTGTTACGTTTTTGTTTTCATATTTCTCTCGCTGTCCGTCGTCTTCATATACGAAACGATCGGTTTGTCGATTTACTGACAAATTTAAGATTGACAGATAAATTGATAAGTGCGTGGTAATCTTGTCATCAAGTCGACGATTGACAAAGTTATACTTTGGAAGTATCGACTGGTCGACTGATAAACAGGTTGATACATGTATATATGTGTGTGTGAAGTAATTGATAAACCAACGTGATAATCCTTTTATTTTTGAATTAGTATTAATAGTAAGTTAATTGTGTGCATTCAGACGGTGTCATCTTTTATTAAAAATTAACATTTTTTTATTGTCTTTTAATGTAATTGTTTTCGAAATGACATTCGAATCGGGCAAACAGTTTTTAACAGAATTCATAGAAATTTACGAAAACCATCCAACTCTGTGGTAGATAAAAAGCAATAAAAATAAACATTTAAGAAATTTGGGGTTGGATGAACTAATGCAAAAATACAAAGATAAATATCCAAAAGCTGATCGTGACTTTGTGAGAAAAAAAATCATTAATTTAAGAACAAATTTCCAGCGAGAACTTGCAAAAGTAAAAATATTCAAACACACAGAAACATCACCAGACAACATATACATACCAACTTTATAATATTTTGATTTATTAATGTTGACTAGTGAGGAAGAAACTGGAAGAGTTGGTGTATCAAGTTTAAGTAATGCAATTGTGAGTAATGTTTGTACTGTTTATAGTTATTTTATTTATTTATTTATTTATTTATTTATTATAAATATTTATTTACAGAACGTTGATGAAAATGATACGGATATGCCACCTGGATACGAGTCTCCAGTTACTCCTAGAATAAATTCAGATAATTATGTGGAAAACTTTGTTACTCCGTTATCAAAAAAACAAAAAAGGAATTTCGTTGCAAAATAAAATGGAGTTTGTCGACCTTGTGAGTGAAGCATTGAAATCTATTAATGAACCAGTTAAAGAAGACGCCGAGTATTCAATTGTTGGAAAACGTTTTGCTTTGCAAAATGTGTCAAACTGAATATACTATAACTGAATATCAAACTTGGTAATCCTTCTGAACTATAGAAGTTGATAAATAAATCGACAATTTTGAAGTTCCGTGTATGGCAAATTGTAGATTGTCGATTTGTTGATCAATTTAAATTTCAACTAATCGACAAACCGATCGTTTCGTGTATGGGGGCCTTTGCGACCGTTTGTTCTTCCATTGTTTCTTTGTTATTCTCGCAGTCTTCGAGCACTGTCCTAATTTAACCTTATTCTACAAACATTTTATATTGTAAAGTTGAAGTTTGTTTGAGTTTTTTTGTTTGTTTTCCTTTTTGTCTGTATACTTGAACCGGCATTGCACCTTAATTATAACATCTAGCTTGTTATTAATTTAGTAATAATTTTAACAATTTGATTTATTATTGTTTATTTATACACCTCTTCTTCAAACAAAATCATATACAAAAAAATTTAGAATCAACTGATCGAACGTCTTTTCTCTTGTCGCCTATGTTTGGATAGGTTGGGTTAAATCTTTAACACTATTTGAATCCTTATCCATACAATGTTAATTAATGACCATTTGATTGTAAATATAATTTGAGTATAATTACAAGTTTATATAATGACCAAAATGTAAAGTACTGCATGCAAAATACTGTATTCTACACCTTTGAGTCACGTGAAGGAGTTAACCTAGAATACTCAAAATTTACCTCAAATTTTTTTTTACTACATTGAACAAAATGAGTTGTCCTATTCGATTTTTTAAAGTTGGTCAAATAATGAGCATCCTAATATATACGCATACAAAAATAAATCACGCGACATAGAATTCCATAACATTTTGTTTTTTTTATTAATATTATACACAAAACCTTTAATATATATATTGCTGTGCTACTGTTTAGTTTAAATTGACAAATTAAACTATAAACAGTAGCACAGCAAAATACATTTTTCTGGTTAATAAAATTATCTAAATTATAAATTATGAGCTTCATTATAAATTTTTGTAGTTCATTAGACATAATTGGACGAATATTTTTCATTTAAAATAATTACATTACTACATTTTTCAATATCAATTTCACGCTAAATTTGATCACTGTAATTATTCATATGCAGTTCAGTTCTATCTGTCGTATAGAACACATGTGTGTGTAGTGATTACTCGTAGTGTTAAATCGAATCTTATATCTTAGTCTTTGTTAATAATTTTATTTATATTGTATAATAAATGCTTAACATGTCCAGTAAACCGGGAACACCGTTAAAAAAATCAACATCGCCTAGTTCACTTCAAAAAGTGCTTTGTTTAAATGATATAATGAAAATGCTTAAATCAATGAAATCGTCCCAATACACTAAATTCAAAACAATTCAAGAGAAATTTATAAGCTAAGTGTCTTGAATAACTCATTTGAAAGCATAATAACATCTTTTAATAACCTTGTATCTGAGAATAAAATACTCAAAGATGAATTGAACAACTTACGTGACCGTGTATCATTATTGGAATCGTCAAAAATAACGACCAATATTGATATGTCCTCATCTGAGGTAATTAGGGAGGCTCAGTTGTGAATATCAAAAAGTAAAAACGTTGCGGTCTTTAATATGGAAAAATCACCAAATGAGACTAATGATAGTTCAAAAATGTTAGCAAATGATTTAATATCTCATTTAAACCTAGATTTTGCATAACATTAGCCAAACGTCTTGGCAATGCACAGTCTAAGAAACGGCCACTTCTTATTCAATTTGGGAATGAATCGGAAGCTTTTACAATGTTAAAAAACAAAATAAAACTTCAAAACACAAGTATTGTGAGTTAGTAATGGAAAAATATATTGATTAATGCCATCTAACTTTACTTCATCATTCACAATTGAAAAGTTTGAGGGAAGAGTTATTCCAGCGACGTCTTAAAGGTGAATCTAATATCGTTATTAGATATGTAAAAGGTATTCCTTCGATCCAGTCAAAAAACTAAAGTACTCCCCAACGGTTCAAAATATTAACCACACTCTTCGTATTCTAAACACAATTATAATTTAAATTTAAATCATCTGCATAAAAAAACTAAAAACTGTATAGATTGTAATAAAAAAATTATAAATAATTATCGGTCTCTTTTAGGTTATTATCAAAATGTACGTGGTTTACGGACAAAACTAGCAGAATTAAAATGTAATATTCCGCTATGCAAAGTCGACTTTTTTGTATTAACTGAAACGTGGCTAAATGATTAAATTTTGGATTCAGAGCTTAGCTTTGATAACTATATAGTCTATCGTGATAAAACCAGTTCATGTTTGAGAGGTGGTGGAGTAGCAATCTGTGTGAATAAATGTTTATTTTCAGAAATCATAAAGATCCCCACTGATAATGTTGAACAGTTGTTTGTAACTGTAAATAGTGGTGGTAATTTAAAATATATTATTGGTGCATGCTATATACCACCTGGAAGCTCAGTTAGTTTATTCAGCTCATGCTGATACTGTGCAGTCTATTTTATCTAGTGTTGTTTAAACCTACTTTACTTTTATTTTAATGGGAGATTATAACTTAGGTCATACAAATTCTATAATGATGACCATAGCATGATTTACGATGGCGCTCAATCAGTTAAAGTAGTTGTTATTTATGAGTGCTTTTCATCTTTAAACTTATATCAGGTCAACACAATCCCTAATATATAAGATTCATATCTGGATTTCATATTTTCTATTACAAATTTGATCACTGCCAATACCTCAACAGATATATTGGTGCCATTAGACCCATACCATCCGGCTTTGTTAGTTGAGTTACAATGTAGTAATAATTATCAGCATTAATGCCCCTTGAATTGGTATTACAATTTTAAACGTGGTAATTATTGTCAAATGTCTTATTATTTAAGTTCTATTGACTGGTCATTTTATATAACTATGATGACATTAATAGTGCGCTTGATAAATTTTATGAGATACTCTTACATTCTATTGAGTTATTCGTTCCTAAAGTTTATGCAAAGTAGTTTCCTTTCCAAAGTTGATTTTCAAAGGAACTTTGTCAATTTATACGTAAAAAAAATGCCCTTCACAAGTTTTTCAAAATTAAAAAAGACCAATCAATATACAATGAGTTCTCAGCTATTAGATCTAAATGTAAAAACCTATCAAAAAAATGTTATTCAGATTATATTAACCGTGTTCAAAATAATTTAATTGTTAACCCAAATTACTTTTGGAAATTTGTCAAAGATAACAGAAATAATAACTTACTTCCAAACTCTATGCATTTTGGAAATATAAAGTCAGACAATATGATCAATGTGTCTGAAATGTTTAGTGAGTTCTTTGCTTCTAATTATTCTGTTTCGAAACAAACCGTCCGAACAACCTATCCTAGTATTATTTTACCCTCCTCGTTTTGTATAGCCTCATGTGAGATCCCGGTTCTGAAATTGTTTGAAGAACTGCAACGAAATACGGGCACTACTTACGGTCCTGATCTTATCCCTGGTATCATTTTTAGTTCTTGTTGTTATCCGCTTACTCGTCCAATCCATTTTTTGTTTTCCTTGTCATTGTCTTCGGGTGTTTTTTCAGTACGATGGAAATCAAATTATATTACCCCTATTTTTAAATCAGGTGACAAGTCTGATGTGAGTAATTATAGACCTATTTCTAAATTAAGTGTGCTGCCGAAAATATTTGAGAAACTTCTAGAGCCCGAGTTATCATTAAGTTTTAAAAACGTGCTAAATAACTGCCAGCATGGCTTTCGTAGTTCTAAATCAACTATTACTAATCTGCTTGTGTTTTATACTAATATTGTTTCCACTGTTACAAATGGTGGTCGAGTAGATGCAATTTATACTGATATGAAAAAAGCGTTTGATACAGTAAATCACAAAGTATTAATTGATTTATCTCCATTACTTTTCTTAATTTTCATGAACGATCTTTCTGATGTCTTTCAACATTCAAGCTATTTGTGTTTTGCCGATGGTGTAAAAATTTATTCTAACATTCGTAGAGTTCATGACAGTCATAATCTCCAAGCAGACTTGTGCAGATTTTATAATTGGTGTGTTGTTAATGGTTTATGCTTGAATGTGTCTAAATGTGCTCAGATCACTTTTAGTCGTAAGCGTTCATATGAACTATATGCATATAATATAAATAGTATTAATCTCATAAATATTCCTCATATTAAAGACTTAGGTGTAATTCTTTCTTCGGATTTATCTTTTACTGAACACATTTCATTTATTTATAATAAAGCACTACGGATGTTAGGTTTTCTTAAGCGAAACTGCTGGGAGTTTTCTAATCCTATTTGTTTAAGAGTTATACATTTTTCTTTAGTGCGTTCCATAGTCGAATATGGGTCAATCATTTGGTTACCATATCAAGCTAATCTTACTAATAAACTGTAAAAATTACAAAAACGTTTTCTACGTATGTTAGTAGTAAAAGTAGGAAAATACGATATTAATGAAGTTGATTTAAATTTAGTAGCTTTAGATATTGGACTAACCAGTTTGAGTAAGAGGCGGAAAATGTTTGACGTTAGTTGGATCCATAGTTTATTAAATAATAAAATTGATTGTCCAGAAATTCTTGATATTATTCCTTTTAATGTTCCTTCAGTCCATTTACGGTCTCAAACGATGTTTTATGTTTCTCCTGTCCAACAGAACTATAATATTTTTGCTCCAGTCAATCGTATGTTATTAGAATGTAATGAAGTTAGTCATAAAGTGGATTTCTTTTTTAATTCTTTAAATATAATAAAAAGATCGATTATATAGTTAAGAATCTTTACTTATATTGTTTGTTTTTATAACTAATTGTATGTTCCAAATTTATTGATGTCTAGTTTAAGTTTTATTAACTGTACTCTTGCCCTTTGGGACGTTAATTTAGTTAATAAATATATATATTACACTTATAAATCATAAAACTTGTAACCAGGATAAAATTAAAAAAACTCAAATTGATGTTTCGATCCTCAGATCTTTATTTAAGCTTCATCGACTATTATAAAAAAACTATAGTTGCCATTTTAATCACTGTTAGTTATCATTTTTACTTGACCTAATTATGCCAAACCCAACAGTGTTTTTTGTTGTGAGTTTATAAATACATTAACTGGCAATACATAAAGTATATCTATTGACAGTCATAATTGACAATAAACACTCTATGACCGTGACATCTATATCATAAAAAACCAATTGGCTACCTGTATTTGTAATCCCTTTTGTATAATATATGTATATTAACTAAAGAAAACCAAAAAATCAATGTTTCAATTATATTTATTCTGTCAGTAATTGAATTGATTATGATAAAAATATCACTCTATATATAAACATATTTCTCGATAACATTTGAAGGGTACAGGGGAAAAACGGTATTAGTCCATTTTTGTTCAGGAGTGCAAAAACAAAGTTTATAGACTTCTACGCATCTAATATTAAACAAAAAAATACGCTTTATGAACTATTATTTTATTAAAATGTATTAACTTTGAAAAGTTATTGAAATAATTTGAAAAATTGTAATGATTATTATTGAAAAAAAAATAAAGATAAAGAGCATGGACTTCAATCTTATTTCACAAGTAAATCTGGATTATTATTTGACACGGCCACGGCGTTGTCACACGTTGACACCCCGCGGTCGTATCAGCTCCTTCTCAGCCACCGCTTCACTGTAAACGCGTTATCGTCGTGGTGTAAAGTCCAACAAATGCCTAGCGTCGAATACCCCGCCGCAATAATACGTCTAGTCAGTCTTCTTCGTGACACCTTTCACACCGATATACGCTGTCCACCGGATCAACCGAAACACCACCGCGATTTTGATTGACTTTTATTTTCTTTGTCAACGATTATTCAAAGTGATACTATTATTATTATTGTTCACATATTATTTTTGTGTTACAACTCTCATTCATTTCTTTATTAATCGGCTCGACTCCAAGTAGAACTGCAACCGGAGTTTACTTCATTTCTCACCATCTTTTACCTTATCATCTTAATAAGAAAAAAAATACACATTATTTTTCAACTCATACAAAAACATCAAATTATTTAAACATTTTTTTATTTCATTTTCAGCTTCATCCAAAGGAATATTTTTCATAAACTTGTCTTCACTGTTTTGAATACCTTCGTCTGCCTTGAGATTTGCATAGAATTTACGTTATTCTTCTTTCATTAAAAAATATTTTATTTATTTATTTCAATATTTATTTATTTTTGTAATATACAAGACACAATATAACAGAAAAAGAAAAAAAAAACAAATAAATATTGAGTACGACACAGACGGCAATGAGTACATAATATAAATACAAAATATCCAAATAATTAAATAAGTACAGGATACATAGAAGTTTAAATTATTAACATACAAAATTAATAATTAAAATCGCTACAAATAGATTTTAACTTGGTTAAATGGTTATTAAAGAAATCAAAATTTTTAATTAAATTGCAAAAATGTAGCATTCTATTGACCGGTGAATAATAACTATAATTCTGACGATATAAGTTAACATAAAATAAATTATTAGATCGGAGATAAAAATTAGGAACATTAAAGGGAATTAGACTTAAAATTTCTGGACAATCTACATTATTATTAAGGAGATTATAAATCCAAAAAACATCATTGCATTTTCTCCTGTAAGCAAGGGAAGTTAAACCAAGAGAGATTCCTATTTCATCGATCAACACATTATAATCCCTAGACTTAAAAGAAATTAAGTGTAAAAAACGTCTTTGTATAGATTCTATTCTATTAATTTCACCTATTTTATATGGACACCAAATAATAGATGCATATTCTAAAATTGATCTTACCAAAGAAATGTACAAGGTTTTGATACACAAAATATTATTGAATTCATTACAATTTCTTCTCAAAAGCCAAGTGTTCGTGAGGCTTTATTGTAAATATAATCTATATGGTTAGAAAAAGATAAATCGCTGGATAATATAACTCCTAAATCTTTAATACTATAAACATTAAGCAAATTACAACCATCAATCGTATACTGATTAATATTTACATTTTTAGAACGAGTAAATGTTATCTGATGACATTTATTTGTATTAACTACTAATCCATTTTTTTTACACTATAAACTGAATTTATCTAAATCTGATTGTAATTTACCATAATCATCAACTGATTGAATGGTCATAAATAACTTAAGATCATCCGCAAAAAGCAGATAGTTGCAGTGTTGAAAAATTCGACATAAATCATTAATAAAAACGATAAAAAGTAAAGGAGACAAATGGCCACCTTGTGGTACACCTGAAGTAACATTAATTATATTCGAAGTAAAATTACCTATTTTGATTTGTTGATTTCTATTTTTGAGAAAGGAAGAAAACCACGCAAGCATTGGATTACCTACACCCAAAAGTCTTAGCTTTTTTAACAAAATTGAATGATCAACTTTATCGAAAGCTTTTTTGAGATCAGTATACACAGTGTCTACGCGGCCTCCAGAGCTTATATCGGATATTAAAGTAGTGTAAAAAATAAGAAGATTTGTTATAGTTGATTTTGATGAACGGAATCCATGTTGATTATTAACTAAAATAGGTTGAAATGTATATGCAAGCTTAGGTAGTAATAATTTTTCAAATAACTTTGGTAAGACATTAAGCTTAGATATGGGGCGATAATTAGTTACCTCACTTCTATCACCAGATTTAAAAATAGGATATATAAAGCTAAATTTCCAAAGATCTGGAAAACAATCAGATGATAAAGAAAGGGAATAAAGGAAGTGAATCGGCCGGGCAAGAGCACAACGACAATTATTAAGAAATATTTCAGAAATTAAATCAGGTCCAGTTGAAGTGCTATTTTTAAGATGAGAAAGACCTTCATAAATATCTGATAAAGATAAATCACACTTGGAAAAATCAATTTTATCACCTTCGTAATTATCCAAAGACAACGGATCAGTATTATGTGCTGAGAATACTGAACCAAAATATTCACCAAAAATATTAGCAATGTCTCTCATATTATCAAAGCGCGAATTCTCGTACTTCATTACATTAGGTAGTCGGTTTACATTTTTACAATTCTTTATATATTTCCAAAAGTATTTAGGATTATTTATTAAACTGTTTTGAACTTTATTTAAATAATCAGAATAGCATTGCTTAGATAAAAATTTACAAGTTGCACGGGTAGATGAAAATTCATTATAGATTGACTGTAATCCATATTTTTTAAATTTTTTATGCAAATATTTTTTTTTGTGTATAAGGGACTTTAATTCTTTTGAAAACCATAGTGGAAAAGAAGATTTATAAGAGTAGATTTTAGGCACATTAGCATCTAACACTCTAGAGATTATTTCATAAAACTTACTTAATGCTGAGTTAATTTCATTTAAATTATAAAGACAAGACCAATCTACATCATTTAATAAATTAACTAATAAAGGAAAATTAGCATGGTTAAAGTCATAATACCATGTATTATTCTTATATCTTGAATTATAACTATCATAATTGTATAAATTACTAATTAATAATGATGGATGATACCTATCGGGAGAAACTAAATTATCATTAGACCGAGATACCAGAGTTGAATTATTATTAACAAAAACTAAATCTAAAGAATTATTAAAGTCGTTTAACACAGTATTATTTTGATATAAATTTAAAAACGAAAATTTGTTAAAGATTATATTAGCACCTGGTAGATTATGACCAGAATATATAAGACCAGTTTTAAATGAAGTAAATCTTTATGCTTCGCATTTTTTATGACAAGTTTCCCCTAATATATTGGTTTCAAGGCAAAGGTTTCTGTTGGATACACATCGGTCGAATATGCTGTCAAGAAATTGTTTTGTGATTATTCATGTTATCGTTGTGTTACATCGAGTTATTGTCGATTTTCTCTCTGTGTCACTACTGTCACCGCCATCTTAACGCTTTTTCTGCTATAAGCTCTATGGCGTTTTGCGAGCCAGTAGTTTTGTATTCGTTTTGTTGTAAAAGAAAATATCACCTTTGCGATTGTCCTACTCTGTGCGCTCAGTTTATCGCCATTGAGTCTATATATTTTCTGAGATACATCACAATACTGTTGACAGCATATTGTACACATTGGTCAGCTACTTGCATTCGACTTCAATTGATCCTTTCAATATTCAACATTATCATCAGCCGTTTCATTTAGCAGATAAGTATAATGCTTGTTCATTTATCTTTCTAACACTGACTTGTATAATTTATTATTTACTTAAATGATCGCCTTAGTGGCATTAGTATTAAGTGCCCCCTTCCCCCATCCACATTGGTGTATATAACATTTTATATTTCTTGTATAATACATTTAATTGTTATAATTATATTTTGTAAAATTCATTCTATATTCAAACATA